AGATGCTGACAATACAGAACTGCATGCATCAAGAAGTCAGACCCTGGTGGGAGCCAGAGGAAGTAAGCAGATAGGATTTTCCAGCCACCAGTGACTGACAAATGAAGGTGATCAGATTTCCTGGGATCCCCTCGCAGCCAAAGCCTGACCTTGAGAACCTCCTCAAAGCAGCTGCTACATCTGTGTGTTCCAGATGCAACTGTTCCAGAAACAGAGAAATTATCAGGGCTCTGTTTAAAGAAACCCAAGGGCTCAGACTGATCTCTAAAAAGAACTTAAACAGGCTGAAACGCCATCACTTCTGAGCAGCTTTATTAAACAAATGCACAGATGGCTAACTCTCCTGCAACTCTGACATTGAAAACAAAATTCATTCCAGGCTTATTTACCCCTCCCTTTCCCAGTGACTGCATGCACTTATGTGGTGTGTTGTGAAATTATAAATTCTTTGGTGCATCATCTCAGTTTTAAGTTCTTACTCTGTAAAATCAACAGGACTATGAAGTATTCAAGCTGACTGTACTTACCTTGTTTGAAATCAAGAATGAACTACAGCATTTACTATAAAAGCACGATGGGGTTTTGCTGCAACTGAGAACTCTGCCACTGATCTGTGGAGTGACCTCAGACATCTCCCTTCACTGAGACTGCTGCTCTTCAGGGAGAGAGCCATTTCTTACACTCTCATGCAGGGGCTACCCTCCAGGCTGCACTCTTTAAATACCACCATAGGTGCAAGTCGCTGATCATTCAGTAACGTGGGAAGACTCAAGCTGGAGACACAGTCCTTTTCCTTAATCTGTTCTGACTCATCACTTCTTCAGGGTAAGCAGTGGAAGGTGGAAACTCAAATTCAGTCACAGTACAAGGATCTAAAGGACTTCATAAATCTGAGCAACATGTTTCACAGGGGTATTAGTGGAAATTAAATGCATTATTGCAAGAAATTTCTGCCAGTAAGTAAAAGCAAGTGCAGGACCCATATAGTTGGGGGCAGGGAGGGGTTGTGGGAAGGGAAGAGTGCACAGAATAGCCTCAGAGCACAAACTTAATCCCAAGGAATAGGAAAGGATACATACATCCATAAAGTCATCTCTTCTCCACTGTGATATCACAGGGGGTTTTAAGCAAATAATTAGGTTGATGAGCCAGTTCCATTACCACTTATTATAGTGATCAATATTGCTTGATGGTCCCTTTGCAGTGCTCTCTACCATCGACATACTGCCTTCCATTTTGTTGACTGATGGCTCTTTGGGTCAGGGACTGCCTTTAGGGTTATGTTTGTGCCATGGGCCTGTGGTTCAGGATAAGGCACTATGGGAATAGTTTGTCCTGCCTGACTCCCTGGGGGGTTCAGTGCATGGTACCAGTTTCCTGTGTCTCCTTCTCCTTCTGTAAAATGACCAGAAAACCTCATCGTGCAGGAGGAGCTATGCAAGGACTAGGCATGACTTAGTAACAGTCGCCCATGACCACGTTCATTCCTTATGAGCCACATAAGAAAAGGAAAGAGAGATCATGATGTGTCCTATGAGGACAAAATAACTAGCATGGATCAGATATTTGGGAACTCTCAGCAGTTTCTGATGAGCTCTACTGCTATATCTAAAATGAAAGAGACTCCTATGAACATCTTTCACAAGCCAGTGTTCCGGATTTTTTGAGAGAAAAAGAAATAAAGACTGACGCAACCAGAGTTTTTATTTAAATAGGATGACTCAGCAAATACTCTAAGAAAGAAAAAAAACACTTCTAAGCTACTGTGATCATTTAAATGGCAATCAAGATATTAAAATATTATTTTGAAAAGTGGTTTAGTGGTAACACACATGTAGGGAAATACATTGGAGGGAAATGAGGAAAGCAAATAGAAGATGGGGCAGAGAGGGACACCTGGGGTCCTGCAAGCTGAGTTTGCTCTTCTCATTGAATTAGAAAGAAAGAAACAAGAAGGCTCAAGCCCTCTCCTGCAGCAGCAGCTGCTGCCACCTTGATGTCCAGTATCAAGGATGGGTGAAAAATGCAACAGTATCAGGGCAGTTTTGCTGCCTACTTTGCCAAAGTCAGCTCTCCTGGAGCCCTTCAAACCCTCTGAAAGGTTCTGTTCATGTTCCCAGTTGCTGTAGACATATATTTACTTTGTTTGAATGACGTGTCCTTCCTGCATGTTCCCACTTGGCCAGCTGACCGTGAAAAGAAACTCAGCAACAAAGCTATTCACTGCAACAAGATGCTTTGCTTGAGAAATTCCGAAGCAGAGATACAATCTGAAACTGTGCATCCATCTTAAAACAGAGACTTAACTGTCAGGGTGGAGTCAGGTTATCTGTATTACAGAAGACAGAAAAGCAGTCTCCTATATATACATTATTTATATTACGCATATATAAGCCTATGCACCCTCTTATATCCATAAGCAGTATTTGGTTTCTATGTCACTTCTGTTCCATGAATGGCTTATTGGGCTGGATTTTTAACTAAAAGCCATTTGCTTAAAAAAGCAAATGCCCAGCCATCAAACACAAATATTTACTCACAACCCCCCCCAAAAATTTATTCGGTTTTGTTCATGAGAACAAGCAGACAGAGAAATCCAGGGAGTCAAACAGCTATAACTCCTAACATTAACAACTGCCCTGTGAGCTGACAACCAGCACAGAGTAGCTCAGCATGTGGCTTCAAAACACTGACACCAATTTTACAACAGGAAAACAAACCAACCAACCCTTTTTATCATAGGAAAAGCAGATCACTGGGGAAACTCTGATGTCCTCAAATGGATATTTTTTTAACATCAGGTTCATCATTCAGGTTTAGAGGACCTTGTTTTTGACCAGGAGCATCACAGACCTCCTGAGGTTCCTCGAATTCCTGAGAACCAGTCATATGTAGCTCACTTCCCTCTTCTGTCTGGGCTGCCTCACCTTTTTACAGATATTCAGACTTTTGAAACTGAATTAGCCTGATTTATGAAGTGTTTATAGTCATATTTAATCTGGAATAAAATGACCTCGATGTCATAATGCGGAAACAATGAGGGAGGGATTTCATCCAGGCAGTATTACAGAATTTCTACCTATTTCCAAGTGGGTGCTATAAGGTTTTTCTGACAGAAGACAGGTGGTAGACCAGTCAGTCCTTAACTATCAGGCAACAAGTCTTTCCTTCACAATGGCAATTTCACAAGAGATGGAGGGGAAGGTATGCACATAAAGAGGGAAAACATTGGATTTTCTTTTTGTTTAGATCAATTCTCTCCATACATTAAACACAGGAAAAAAACACACCTCTGTTTTAATACAGTAAATAAGCCAAACAACCACCAAATAAGAGCTTTGGATTCTGCAAGATCCCTCATAAGTGTAACATAACTGAATGTCGTATTTCAAGCACACCATAGTTGAAGATCCCCATCCTCCCCAGACTAGGTTTTTGCATTTTAGCATTAATGTTCATGTTCCTCTATATTCCTTTTCACCGTTCCCTAAGGTCCCTCTCACCCAATCAGTTTAGCATGATGATAATTACAGCCAAGTCATAGAATGAAAACAGAACGCGACTGGTAAGATGATCCTGGACATCATCCGGATGCAAGTGAAGCATGAGTATCTAATTCATTAAGGGAGCAGGAGGATTAGGGTGGTGCTGAGCATCTATTATGTTTAATTTGACATTCCATTAATTTACTCTCTCAATGGACAGGATGGGAGGTGCAACGTAATTACAGCTCAGAATCTGAAACCTCTGGCATGTCTGAAGACTTATTAGTTTGGTGGCAGTTGGCTGGGGGGAGCATGGAAAGAGATATCAGCAAACTTTGTGCTCACTGTATCCATTATGCTTCAGTAATAAACTGCGTGTGGAACCAGTGGAGTTCACCTTGGAGATTAAGGACACTACCTCTGTGTAGCAAATGACTTTCTAAATGCCTTGAGAGCGGAACCTTCCAAGGATGCTTCACAAGGTGAGTCTAATTTGTATCAGATAAAACAAGTGCTTTAAAACCCAGATGGAAGATGTATGATCCTAATTTTCTTTTTAGGGTGAATAGCACTGAAAATGCAAACTCCCTGTTCCCAGTGAGCCTCTTTTCTTGCATAGCTACTCAAACAGTCACAGTGACTCACGGATCAAATTCTACTGTGAACAAATGTTCAACTGCAGCAAATCCACAGGCCCTGCAGTTTTGACATGCATTCAGCCTGAGCAGGGGGTGTGCATGTCATACCTGCACCCCTGAACCGCTGCTCTGGAACATGCAGGTCATCGTTTTCACAGAAGCTCTTCGGAAAAAGAAATAAGAGAAAATAACTGTCCCCACGCCTCTAGGTATCAAAATAAACAGTCAGATTTTTCAAGAGCTCTCAAAATTCATCAGCAATGGGGGAATCTGAGAATTCGGAAAGTTGTCCCAGGTGTTTTACAACACTAAAAACAAACCCTTCAACATGTCTCCCACTCAAGCTCATTTCTCACCTTGAAGTCACATTGGATTTTATTCTTTGTTAGAGAAGTAGAAGCGCAAAGAGATGCAATAGGAAACCTTGCTAATATATTTCTCACAGAAAAATAGGCATCTTGATACCATATTGATTTAGTCTATTGGACACCACTGGCTATCACAGACGCAGTGTTAGAGACAGAAGCTGACTCATTAAAAACGACAGAAGTCACAGTACCTAGACATTTAGATAAACTTAGGGTGCACAAACAGACAAACCTTTTAACTCCATTGCAATTTAATTAGGTTAGGGCTGGCAGCCAGAGGGACAGTATTAGAGACAGGCACCCTCAGTTAAATCATACAACAAACAGAGCATCAGGAATTTGTTGTCACCGTCCATCAGATCTAGTATCTGCGGGAGTCAGAGGCCTGCTAAATTCAGATTGTAGTCCCTGGCAAAGCAATGAAAAGAACTGACTGTTCCCTTTGGTCCTGCAATACATTTAAGGGCCTGCTGGAACTGAATGAAGACATCTGAAAAGGTAAAATGTACCTGGCAGATGAAACCAGTGGATGAGCACTGCCGAACCCAGAGACTGAATTTCCTCTTTTTCCTCTTGCGCAGCTCCCTCTCCGTGCATGTGGCAATGAAAACAGGATCCTCGTCAATCAAGGGCTCATGTAGTACCTGCAATTGGCAAGAAAAGAGGCAGGGTGGAAAGAAACAGAAGAGTACATGATTGCTGAAAGAAAATGGTGCATTAAGTTCTTCCAAGGAAATACAATCCTTGCATCATGCTTCTGCACATCACCTCATACAAGGAGCAAAACCACTGTTGTTCATTGCTACCATCCAACAACAACCAAAGCCGAGCCAAGCACAATCCATTGTGGATGGCTGCTCTACAAGTGGTTTGCAAACACTGCAAGGCACGAGTCTCACTTCTCGCTATCAGCTACAGTTTAACATCCCTCAAAAATGTGGCCTCTACTTCTCACTATCAGCTGGAGTTCAGCCTCCCTCCAAAATGAGGTGAGGAATGGGAGGGGATTGTTAGTAGCATCCTTCTCCAAGTTTCATGATCAGCTTCATCTTGTTTGGCAGAAAGTCTTCCACCCAAACATCCCCCCTACAATACGTTGTAAGGTACATTCCTTGGTTACAGCAAAGGAAAACACACAGCAAAGAGGAAGAGAAGTTAAGGGAGAAAAAGATATTTTCTGCTGCCACTTAAGGAGGTGGTGAACAGAGAGGAAACATTTTTCCTGGTGGCAGCAGCTTCAGGGAAGACTCTCTTGCCTCAGAAGCTGAAAAAGTTGACAAAAGGAGACACAAAGATAAAGGACCGAGGCAAAAATAGAAAAAGACAAGGCAGACTGAAGCAAGTAATGAAAATCTGTGAAAATTAAACAATTTCTGCATTCTGCATACAGATGATGTAAGTGGTTCCCTGTTCCTTACAGCTGTTTTGTTACACTTCTCTCTAATTCTGTAGTAAAGTTGTTAGGTTTTACACTATAGAATCCACCTACTGAAAATCACTACTACCTCCTTGAAGCTCACAGGTAGCTGTGCATAACATACACATCCCTGACTGCACAGTATGTAAGTTGTCTAGCAAGTCTCTATTGAAAGGACTCAGCTGCTGAATGTTGACCAAATTCAGACATCTACATCTAAATCAGAGCAAGTCACTGCCCTCTCCCCTCCTGGTACAGGAGGGGAAAGCAGTCCCAGCAGGACGTAATTCATATCTTCTTTAAGACATGTGTAAATAAGTCAGATGGGTTATGATCTAAAGGAGGCTGTTCTTTTCCAGTGACTATCACCCGAGGAGACAGGCTCAGATATAGGTATCCACAATACAGAGGCTCTCACCCTCTGACCAAGCCCTTCCACATCTGCATGGGTGCTACTCTTGTGCACATCTGCACGCAGCCAGTGGCAGAAATGAGAACAAGTCTGCACTAAACTTGGGAGCGATGTTTCTTTGAGATGTGGTGGGTAAGCAGTTAAGCACCAGTGATGAGCAGCTGCTGGCCTCCTGAACACAAGATGTTTGTTGAACATCACGCTGTCAGCCCAAAATAGGCACCCGTGCCCTCCCCAAGCAGTGGCGGCTGCACACTCATTTATATGCACTCCACTTCTTAACGGCTTATAAAACATTCACAGGACCATCTGAAAGCACTCCTGTGAAATGTTCAAATTATACACCAAAATGCAGATGCAAACAAGGAGAGCTGCACACAAAGCTATTTGTTCTTAAAGCTGCAGTTCCCCCTTTTCCCTACTGGAACCAAAGCCTCTTCCTCTCAAGGGCCACATGAAACACTGCTCTTCCTTCCCGAAGGCCACCTGGGGCGTTTCACACTTCCACCTCAAGAAATTCTGACAGTGTTTTTCAAATATTAAACATGTCCTCATTTGGTTTTGCCTTTCTGCCTCTTCCAGGCAGACGGGACAACCACATCCCTTGGGATGGGGTTGGATACACCATTAAGGATTCCTCAGCTACTGAAAAGGCCCTTTTACCTGCCAGATCCCACTGAGTGGTGTGGTTCAACTGTTACAATCTCCCCCAATGTAGGATGGAGAGGAGCAGAAAGAAAAGGCTATATAAGCATCATTTGAGGACATTATTTACCCTCTGTCATTAGCTCAGCTCCCTACTCTGCACCCCAGCATCAGCTCTCCTCACAGCAGCTCTCCTGCATCCTGCTTACCTTTCGCACTCTTCCTGCCTTCTGAGACACTACAAGGCCTGTCAGCCTTACATTTAGAAAGCACATCTGATTTAAAACCTCTCCCCATCTTCCTCTTCTCCCTGCCCATACTCAGCTCTGCCTTCCTCTAGGACCCAGAGCTTCCCCTCCTTTCCTCTACACTGAATATTTAAGTCATTCCCATTTCTCCATAAGATTATTAATGTTCCACCAAAGTCCCTACTGAACTTCTGGGAAGAGGGAACAAAAACGCAAACTGAGTAGGGCAAGACTTGCTGTTGTTGAAAAGAGGGAATATGGACAGGCAGGGAAACTGAAATGAAAACCCTGGAGCTTTCTCTTCTTGCTTCCTCCTGAGAGGGTGGGGAGACAAGTGTTGTCACCCCTCCATAAGCAACCACTGCTTCAACAGCTGTAAAGGACTTTGCAGGCAAGGCTGTGCCTGATGCTGGAACAGCTGATCCTCATCTTGTTTTCAAAGGTGACACTTTGTTGCTTCTGCACTGACACGGTTTTCTTATGACAAAAGCCACAGGCCAGCCTATTAGTTTATTCATTGTCCATTCCCAGTCCCCTTGCTCCTCCTGTAATCTCAACTCCATCTCTTTGCCAAGACTCCATGCAAAGTGATACTTGCTCCTTTTCCATTCCCCATTCTTGCTGTCATTGCAATACCCACTCTTCCACGAGTGAGCTTACTGACCCTGTGGCATAATCTTTCCCTGCTTCTCATCTTCCTAGATAAAAATCTACTTTCAGGCTTAATTGACTCCTACACATATTCCTGGCCGCCTCTTCACCATCTTTGACTCACTCCCCAAGCCCTCCTCTCTCCCTATTCTGATTTCCTTTGTTGCAAAGTATCTTGTGGATTTCTTCACAGAAATTGTTCCCATTTTCTTCTCTAATATCCCCAGTTTTGTTAAGGTCTAGGCAGCACTTCAACTATTTCCTTCACTCCCCCACAGTTATCACATTGCTTTCTTTTTTTTTCCTTCCATAGCCATCCTCACCTCTGCTCGATCTTCTTGCTAAGCTTTCACTCTTTGTTTTCCCCTCAACACATACATGCATTCCAAGTGTTGGAGTCCCATCTTGGAGTCTTGACTCTCCAGAAATTGCTCCATCTCACAACATCTTTCATTTGCTGAACAAAACAGCTAGCCACTGTCAGGAGTGCCTTTCTTCTTTCTCCATTTTAGATCATCTCCAAAGCACTTTCCACTCTGCAGTTCCACCTCTCCTGATGCTGCAGATCTCACTGGCCAGTGAATCTGAATGTCAGTCTTTACCTCCAACTTCTTGCAAGGTCTTCTAAGCCAGGCAGTGCCTGCATTCTCTATGCTTTCTGAGTAACAGCTCTAAAACGTTACTCATTTTAGAGTAACAACCCACCTACCCAGCCAAGTTTTCATCCAAGCCCACAGCTATCCTGCAACAGTTTTCCTTCTGGCCTTAACATAATGTGATCCTGCCCTACAGACTGCTGCTGGAAAGCCATTCTCCTCATCCGTCACACTGGCCACATTGCTTTTCCGTATTTCTCTGATAGCTCTGCTTCTTCAATATATCAGACAGATTCCTTCACTTTCAAAGTCCTGTTTGGCCTATCCACATTTTACTAATCCTCTTTGCCATCATTCAAAGGTTAACTCCCACCTTCAATGGAGCCATGATTTCACGCTCCTCTGCCCATTTGTTCAGTCTTCAGTAGACTCTCTTTAAAGTAAAAAAATAATCAGTTCTTACAGTACTCCTTTGACATTAGGTAATTTAAAAATAGCCATACAGGTTCATTTTCTGCTGTCAAACTCTCCACAAAATCTGGCTTCACCAGAGGATCAACTGGCTGAGAACTACAGGACATCAGAAATTTACCTTGCTATTCAATATGCTTACCATAGAATGGTTTGGGTTGGAAGGGAGCTTAAAGATCACCTAGTTCCAACCCCCCTGCCACGGGCAGGGACACCTTCCACCAGACCAGGTTGCTCAAAGCCCCGTCCAGCCTGGCCTTGAACCCTTCCAGGGAGGGGGCAGCCACAGCTGCTCTGGGCAACCTGTGCCAGTGCCTCACAACCTTCATAGTGAAGAATTTCTTCCTTACATCTAATCTGAATCTACCCTCTTTCAGTTTAAAGCCATTACCCCTTGTCCTACCACTACACTCCCTGATAAAGAGTCCCTGCCCATCTTTCCCGTAGCTCCCTTTAAGAACTGGAAGGCCGCTGTAAGGTCTCCCCAGAGCCTTCTCTTCTCCAGTCTGAACACCCCCAACTCTCTCAGCCTGGCCTCACGGGAGAGATGCTCCAGCCCCCCAATCGTCTTTGTGGCCTCCTCTGGACTTGCTCTAATAGGTCCATGTCCTTACTTATGACGGGGGCCCTTACTGCTCCTCTGTCTGTCTTTCTCTTGCTCCATGTCTTGTACTTGGCCAATGCCCTCTGAATATTTCTATCTGCATTGCATTCACAGAAGCCCTAAGACAGAAGAGTCCTGGATTGTGACCAGTACCCTTACTCACAGCAAATCACTTTGAAAACTGGAAAACTGAGACACAGAGGTGTGACTTGAGCAAGATCTTATCATTTGGAAATGCCCAAATCAGTATTTAATGATATGGACACAGAAAAGCTATGAGTTGATCAGCCTGGTTTTGCCCCTGTTTTCAGAGCAGCTGCCATCTAATGCTGGGAGCTGGTTTGGAAGAACTATGTTGAAACTGCTTAGCTGTACGCTATGATACCACCAAGAGTGAAACACAAACGAGCCCCCTAGTAACCAGCCAAATTTTAGCACCATGCCTTTGGAGCAAGAGGCTAGAGCTATGTCTCTCTTTTTGCCAGGGAGTTCATTGCTGTCTGAGGTAAGGACTTAAGCTGGCTGTTCCCAGCTGACATTTTACTGGGCAGATCCAGAAATGTTTGGTTCCAAGATGCTGAAGAGAAGAAAGAGGAAATAATAGAGTTCCCAGAGTTGTGCTCCTGACCTCTGCCATGCCAGTCAGGGGTAGCCAGAAACAGCAATCCTGTCTAGTCACATCCCACTGACAAGCATATAAATACTCAGCAGGCACAGAAGGATATTTGAGCAGTGATGTTATTTTTCTGAGCTCCTCTGGTTTCTGGAATTCAGTGTATATCCTTGGCAGGTGAGTACCCTTGAACTTGTCGCAGGATGCCTCCTGAGCGCTGGCAGGACATCTTCCCTGTCTTCTGGCTTCCACTTGTCAACAGTAGCACAGCTACAAAGCAATGTGGACCTGAGCAGCAGAGATGACACTGATGGCAAGAACTGACCCAAACTTCCAACTCTTGTTGCTCAGGTAAGAGTAGCAGTTATTTATACAGAATATGCTGGGGAGGGATGGAATGCAGAGAATATTCCTGTCATTCTTATCCAATCTAGGTCACAACACCATTTTTTTCTACTTCAGAAATTGAAGCTAGCACTGCCGATACACAATTACAATGTTCTGGGCTTTCAATACCTTCATAAGCTGGAGAGTAATTATTTCCTTTTGTTTGCTCAGTACATTTAGCAAAATAATGACAATTCACTAGACTGTTTTCTTTGTTTTCATATATTGGCATAGTTCTCTCTGTTTCCTTTCATAGAAACTGTGGTGTCATTTTTGCATGCACCTTTTGGGGGCGGGGTTACACATGAGAAAAAAAACCCTAAATATTTTCTGAGACAGAAATTCCACTTGAATCTCTTCTAGCTCTCCAAAAGGAAAAAAATATCAAATCTGTAGAATAAGTAACTGTGAAAGCAGATTTTGTACTGCTTATCTGACACAGACTGCCTGCTCTGTCCGTAACAGTGAGCATGGCATCGTCCTAACCTGCATTCTGTGATTCCACACAGCCAGAGGCAGAAAGTAACGTTTACCTACAAGCCCAAACAGCTTTGATGCATTCAACAGCAAGAAGCCCAAGTCACTCTTCTGCCTGATGCCACTTACAAGACATTAGCCTAAAGCCTCAGCACAGATCATGGCTTGGGAACAAATCATCCAGATATCATAAGTCTTATGTTTAAGATACAGGTATACCTTAAGCAACAAATCCATTTTGAGTTTGGGATTCCAGGTACCAGATCACAGAAACCCCGGCCTCTCTTCCCAAAACAATTTCAGAGGCAGCACATCCAAAAGCCCATCTGAATGGGTCCTTCCCTTTGTCTTTTCCCTTCGTCTCTGTGCAACTGGGCTATTCTTTTTAATTATTTCTATTATTTCTCACTGGGCCTGACATTCTGAGTTTGATGTTTACTGCAGCCTGCTAATCTGCACTCAAGGCAATTTCCAAGGAGAGGTTTTTCCTGTTGTTTTGAGCAGATGGGTCCTTGTCTCTTGAGACAGGTAGTGTGCAGCCCTGCCTGATGGCACCCAGGAGGACGTTAGGCACAAGGCTACTTTTGAGAGGAGGCCTGGAACATCCCCCAGTAGGCTACTGGCGCTACACTAGAGTATTTTTAACAACAGATTCAAACCCTCTTTCTATCTCACAGTTATTTTTGAAGTTGTGTTTTAATGCTTTTTGTTTCACTCAGTACCACTGAAACATGCTGTATAGAAACCACTGATGTAAACACTGACAAGGGGACAGAGAAGTGGAGGGAGAAGCAAAATAATTAGGCTGACAATTCTCCCTTTTTTTTAAAAAAAGTATCATATCCTTACCAAGCTCAGCACAAGTATACATTTTGCTCGTGGAGATTAGAGGTTTTGCCACTGCAAATGGGATGTTATGATTTTGTCAATTTAGTTCTCAAACTTGCTCAGGAGGGGGAAGGGAGAAGGGATATACATGCAAATCAAATTTTATCCTTTAATGGATTTGCACTCACAGCATGTCCCACAGCACACCATTATAAGCATTTACATTAGACACAGTGATCACATTTCTGAAGCCTTTATCTTCTGCCCACTGAAGTCAGTGGCCATAAGGATTAGATTTCATATCTGAATGAGAGCTTGGTCCCAACAATACCGTGTCTCTTACTGTCTGTTTTGTCTTGATGGAAGTGCACCTTGCTGGCGTGGCTTAGCGAGAACACTCCTTTCTCCTCCCTTCTCCCATCTCGTAACAGCTTTTTAGTCAGCTGTGTTGTCCTGAATTATACAGATATGATTTTTATGGTTTATAAAATAGGAAAAAACCCTATAATCACTTCAAATTTATTTTGGGCACACTTCAATGGATGTGCATCTTTATCTTCATTAATTTTGTGCAGTAGCCAAAAATGTGATGCTTCAGAGGGGAAACGGGAAGAAAAAGAGGAAGATGGACACACCACCTTTTCTAAATGCCTAGGTGAAATCTTTATATTCCAAAAACACAGAGTTGATTGAAGTTATTTCAAGCAGTAACATATTTCATGCTTATTCCTTTTTCTTTCCAGACTTCAGAACATGACCAGTAGCAACAGGTCGAAAAGGAGATGATTTATAGTGGGACAAAGTTTAAATAGCGTATGATTAATATTAAGAAAAGATTGCTTTGCACTTAAAAAAAAAAATAATCGTTCAGCTGTACAGCTGTAGTCAGACAACCAGCTACGTAAGTTTCTGTATTTAGTTCCTTACACTGTCTGCCCAGTTTACAGAGCAGTATCCCTACAGAATGGCATTCTACTGTACCCCTACTTGTATCTGGAAATGAAAATTAATCGGAGTCCTGTTTACTTTTATTTCTGATAGTCTATAAATATTTCCAGCTCACTTGCACTTTGGTTACAAATCCACACATCAGTAAGTTTTTCCACAGGAGCATCACCCATCATTAAAATCCAGCACTGGCACAAGGCACAGGCAGTGCTGCTGAGGGCAGCTGACGACAGTGAGCAAAGGCACCAGTCCCGCTGCTTATTTTCCCTTTGCCCAGTCAGGAGGAGGTAGCTGTGCTGCTGGACCATACAGCAAGCACCTACTGCTAGGGTCAGGGCTGGTCATTCCTAGCAAATTCAGCTCCTGCAATCCAACCCACAGCAGGAGCAGAGCTACAGGCTTTCCCTCCAGCCCAGCTGCACCAGCTCTGCCCTTTCCACTCTCCCTCACAGGAACAGCCTGTAGCCTCCCATCCTCAGGATAGCAAAAACTAGTGGTGCCAACCTCACTGAGAAGGTTCCAGGCTTGTTTAGCACACTAAAACAAACAGCCCCAGCTCAGAGAGCATCATTCCTATTGAAACATGCCAGGTACCTGCACTGCAGCAATATGTCAGACACTGCTGAGCAGTCACATTGGACAGTGCTGTTTTCTCTCACATTTTATGGAGGCACCACAGCATGGCTTCACACTATGGAGCTCTTTCTTCACACTGAAGTTCTTTCTCCAGGCAGCTGTGCTCTGCACTTTCAGTCATCGCAAGATGACCTGACCTAGAGCATGTGGGTTAGACATCCCCTGCCAAGAGGTTAACTCTTACCTGGGCTTGCGAAGGCCTAAAAGCAGAGTCAAAGCCATTCTGCAGAGAGTCCAGAAAAGGCTGGATTTTGTAGAGGCCATGTGTTGTCTGGCTCGAGCGGAAGGCGACAATGTGGAAGTACTTCAGGATCTTCTCAAAACGTGACTGTGTCATGATAAGTGCAATGCTCTTGTTGCTGTAGAAGCCGCTGCTCCAGATGCTGAGAACAGACTCACAGTGGTGGATGCTGGTTGATATCATGTAGCCTAAGAAGGCCTTCATTTCCGTCAAGGTGACATCAATCCAGGTATCGTCACTACCAAACCTCTCCTGGTACTTCTTAGCATACATGTTGGTTTGGACCACCATATTCTTTAGTACGTTGTCAGGGACAAAAAGCTGAAAAAAGTCCATGGCACTGGCAGTCTGGGGCATTTTTCGTGTTGGACCTAGAACAAAATCAAGAAAGGAAGATAAGCTCACAAGGCATGTCCAACACCAGCAATTTAAAGCAGGATTAACTTTCCTAAAGCAGGAAAACAAGGCCAAAGTGATGGCATGTCAGCTAATTCCTTTGAAAGTATACCCACTGTCTAGCAGATCTCATAAGGAAACTTCCCCCCCATGTTCTCGGTCTTCCTCCTACATGATACAACACACTGAATAGTTTCTTCTGCTTTGCACACTCGGTTTGTATCATGCAGGTCTGTGAGGCAGCATGCATTTAATTTTTCCATTCATATACTATCTGTACCTTTTACCCTCAGCAGTTGTGTTGGCCTTTTTCTAGATAGTCTTTTACTTGTCCATACGCACATCAAAGCAGTGCCTTCCTCAAAACAGCCCAGAACGAAGGTGTCCAAGCCCTCCAAAGACAGAGTGCTGTCCCCATCCCAGCTGACATGACTCCTGAGCACTAAAACCTGATCCCACCTTTCCTTTTGTACTTCCAATACCCACCCAGATCACTGTAATTAATCCCGTGACTTTCAGATCTATTTCTGTTCCGCATACAGAGCCATGCAGATCATGTCTATGTGCTTTTGAGCTCTGTGTCTCTGCCGCCACACTGGAGCTTTATCTTGCATTCTGACAGCCCCAGGAGAGCACATTACCGGAACAAGTCAAAGACACCATGTGGCTAGTGTCACTGTCCCACATCACAGGGAATATTTTTAGCATTACAATGCATACGCTGGTCCTTTTCCTTCCATAAGCCTTGCAGTCCCATGCTGTCATTACTCTAGCTTTTCACTAATCTTGCACCTTCTCTGCCAGTTTCAACTATTCCATATGAGGCAGGGTGGGGGGGAAGGGAAGGAGGCTCTAAGGTAGGCAGCACTGTATCAGTGTAACAAGGTTATCCAGTCAGCCACCAGATTACATTAAGCCGAATTAAGAACATCAAGTCTGCAATACCAGGGACACAGACACTAGTCCTTACAGTCTTCTCTCATCTAATCCCTTCCATAAACTAATCAAGCTCCATTTTAAAAGTGGTGTTTTTCACGCTCCCACCCATGGCAGTGTAGTCATCAGGTAAGGGCTATGGAGACAGGGACATTCTCTATTCTCTTACACAAGCAATGAAAATCAATACACGTGAGAGGGCCAGCATGGACAAACCCAATGGACAGGGCAGCGCTTAAGATCAGTTCTATATCCTTGTGCAAAAGATAGTGTCATGATTATAACCTCTAACTAAGAGTTGGATCCAATAAACATTGTGGCTCAGTTTAACAGCCTTCAGTCTTGGGACTGTCTGAAAAACACTCTTCCTGATCAAAAGCAAGAGGCACACAGTTTCTCATCTGAAGTTCTGCCCAACAAGAGTGAGTTTTCCTTACACTCTGTGGCTGCTTGGGTCTCAGCATCAGCTCTCCCAGCTGAATGAGAGCAGGAGATTTGCCATTCTACAGTCTGGCTCTGCAAAGATCCACTACCGTGTTGGTCAGGTCGCACTCTCCAGTACCCCTATATCTCAGCTCATATCCTTAGTTACAGCAGTACCTATAGCTTGCAGAAATTTTGCATGAAAACAGTACTACAAGGACCTACACAAATACTGTGCTGGACTTGATCTTAAGCCTTAATGGTTGGGTGCACTCTGGTGAACTTAAGCTATTAGCATGACAGTAAAAATAGCACCAAGACACTGAAACAGTGAACCTTCAGATTGTAAAGAGTGCCAAAAAAGAAAACAAAAGTGGATTTTTTCCCCGCCCCCGGGTGCAGTAAGGAAAAAAAACATATATTTAAAGATTAATTTCCAATTTAATTTGCGAGACTGAGAAACTAGAAATTAAACAGTTCAGTTGAAAGCACATTCCTCTATATAGCAAGACCAGAGTAAAAAGCCCCACACAAACCATGCTCTGGTAAGGACATAACAGAAAATTTCAGCTTAAATGACAAAAGGTTTTCATTATCAAGTGAAAACTACCAGGCTAGAATAGACATACTTACTTAACCTTAACTGCTATTGCAATAATAAAGCCTGTTAACAAAGAGTTCCCTTCCTTCGATCAGGAGATTTATATTCTGCTAGTACCCACTAGACTGTTATAGCTGACATAAAATGCTCTACAAATGATTCTGTATGAATGACTTACAGTACATCACTTCCTCCTTCCCCACAACTTAATCAAGTTTTGACGTTCTACAGTAGATACGGCTTTCTGATAACAACACACTGCACAGAGTGTATTCCTAGTTATACATGAAGTCTCGAGTCATGTCACTGAATTCAACTCCAGTGCACAGGCAACCTTCCAGGTAGAGCACCAAGGTAGTTTTTTATTTCTTGCCATTAGAATTAGAAGCTGGGAGTAGGGGGTAACATTTTAAATCTTGCCTACAGCAAACAAGATGCATTCATAAAGCATTAAGTCTTATGAAGTGAAATACATTGGTCCTGACACAGGTGGACATGGACAATAGGTACATGCTGGACTCCATCTTTAGGGAGCCAAGAGCAGTCAGAAGCGCAAAAATGTACTTTTAATGTAATTAAATATTCAGTGGCTGCACAAGTTTACCTTGAAAAGAGATTACAGAAAACTGACAGGTATACTGGATAGGACAAGCCTTTCTTACCCAGCAGTCCTGCTCCAGCTGCACAGAATCTCCTATCTGCTCTCCTTATTGAAACAAATATGCAAGACTTGTAACCTATTGGCCATGCAGAACCCACACAGCTCTAAAGTGAGATGAATCACTTTCTGACTCAAACATCAACCTAATTGTTGACTAAATATAATTCTGAAAGCCCCTGTATAATCTCATTGTCTTAAAAAAACAGCCTTTACTGGCAAAGTGAGCACAATTGATTCATAATTTACTGATATGCAATAGAACAATAGTGACATTGAATTTCTGTAGGAAGAGAACTGAATTCTTAAAATGAATTAGGTTTTGCGTAGTTAATGAGTAGCCTAAAATAAATTATTTAAATATGACTTTCTATCTAAGTACACAAACATATCCCATATATAAATCCAATTACATAAGAAACTTAAATAGTGAGCTTGTACCTTTTAAGGATTTTTACATTGACTTAAATGGCACTTACCCAGAAAAATATAGATATGAAAAGAGTTCAGTGTTCCATACATACACTGTTTACCTTTCAAAGCTTTTCTCAGTCAAATAAAATAGTGGCTTTCCCTAGTCTTCCATTCTCAGAATTAATACACAATTATAACTGTATGTAAAATTCAGATTTTTCTCTCTTCTCTGCCCTGAAGTGTGTGCACAGAGAATATATTTACTTACATATGGGTTTTTGCTTTAAAAACCAATCAGGTTTTCCTGTATAATCTATAGTCAGAGCACAAAAGCACTCTTGGAGTTCCCAATCACCCAGCTAGACCCAGTGTTCTGTGCACACCCACGGCAGGGGCAGAGCTCTACTGAGTAACCTCTGGTTGGGCAGCACACACACCAGCACTAGCACTCTGAGCTTGCTTTAAGTGACTTTGCAGAACATGGAAAATAACATAACCTTCCTTTGTTATGATACCACGCAAACACACAAACTCTCCTTCTTCCTTCTCACCCTGTCTACCGGCAGAAACTTTTATGTGCAATAAGCAGCAGTCACCTGGTACTAGATCCTAATTTGACCAGGTGGGTTCAATTTTCTGTTTAGCATGCTGAAGGAAGGTCTCCCCCAGAGCCGTAGCTATTTAAATTGTAAGAATAGTCTAAAAATAAATGAAGAAGCCGAGCAGGGAAAGCCATTTGTGTTTCTGTAGGGGAGATAGGATTGTGGAGCGGAGGCTGGCACCTCGCCCTCAGACTGCGCACATTGCAGAGCCCATTTTGGCTCAACTCAGCTCAGGGCAAACTGCAGCAGCCTCACTGGGTCCGATGCCTAGCGAGAGAGCGGGCTGCACGCTCAACTTCTCTGCAAACATACACACTGCAGAAAAAACAGAAAGGATTAAAAAAACGTTCACGTGAAACTTCTGCACGATCATCCTTCAGGCTGCCCCTGCGTGTCCTCCTACAATCTCCGGTCTTCTCCCTTGGGTGGGTCCCCACCAGTCACATTCTTCCACCTGCGCCATTCCCATCAGTGATTCTAGCTCTCCTTACTGAGTAGCACGTTAGGAAAAAAATAAAAACACCGAGTGATTTAACTGCTTTTCCCCTACTTAGCTGGTTTGCAGGACAGTGTAATTTGAGCACATTTTTAATAGGTTAATTTATCCTTTTCAATTTTTCCTGTTCTGATTACCAACCTGTTATTTAGTAGCTCAGAGTTCAAAGACTCAGAAAAAAAGATGGAAAGTTTCAAAACCTACTGTAATCTATCAGTGCTTACAACATAACATACAAATCTTAAGGAGGTGAAAAGCATTGTCATTTTGGGCAGGATAAATCAGATGTGTAAGAAAAAAACACAGAGGAAGAAAATTTTCCTTTTGCTGGGCAGAAGGCTTAATGCTCTCATTAAACGTGTAACCAAGGTTCATGATAAAATATCCCATTACATTGACAGACCCACATATTACCATATGTATGGCTAATCCAAATTGCATGGTTTGGAAACAAACCTTGTAGAGAGCTAATTCAGGGCTGACTTTGAACTTAAACTTCATTAGCAGCTAGGCAGACTACAATACTCCTGACTGAATCAGGCACAGAAGTAGCAGAAGCATCAGTTTAAGAATTTAGAAGTCATTTTATTGTCCGCTTTGCACAAAATTTATAGTCATGCATGAGGATAGTACATTTAGGTGTATTATATACAGATACATACCTAAGAAAAATCTTTCCAGAACCTATTATTTTTTGGTAATTGGTTAGTATTTGCTCCTATGACATATGGCACAGCTTTCAAAGACCAGGGTTGGTTTGAAAACCCAGTAATTCTTTCTTCCTAAGTCCAAGCAATCAGAGACTTTGATATTCCTGAGAAGTTACCTTTCTAAAAGTACACAAC